GTCATAAGTATGTAATTATACTACGAAAATGAAATACTTTTTTTTCTTGCAAAAGGAAACTTTATGTCATTTAAATTTCCATTTTGGGTATTTAACTAAAGAGCCTTTATGGGCACCTTTATCTTTAAAGTGGCTTTATGAAATCGATCAGCAAAATAAAACATCCTTTAAATTGTAAAATATTCTTCAATTTCATTATGAAATCGGCCCTTACATGACCAAAAATGGACGAGAGTGGTATCAATCGACGCGTTTTAATGCCAATAATAATGGTCCGATAGCGGAAATAAAATATATTTTTAATTAATTAAAGAGTTATTTGCAAAAAAACACTTGCACTTTTCGCACTTTTATTTGATGCATTTCACGCAAATAAATTTAGTAAATGAACACAGCTTAACACGTATTTAATTGTTTTTGTACATTTGTGAAGTATTAATTGAAACATATGTGCAAAATTGTTTATTTAATTACAATATTCCGATCTTGAAAATTCCGCACAACAATCTTGCACAGTTAATAGGTGTATTTGCGTATTCTTCCAGTACAAAACTCTCAACAGCAAAATTCTAGAGAATTTTTATGTGTTCTCTCTCAAGCAGTGAAATGTTTGCAGAAGTACGCGAGCGCAAAACTTGCAAGTTTCACGACAGCTGATCGGAATTTTGTTTACATACTAAAGTACAAATAAGAAAACATGAAAATAATATAAGTTAAAAGTTTGCCTGAAGCAGTTTGCTAAGCAAACGTAATAAAATTAGTATTTGCATTTTTTTCCAAACATTTGGAGTTCTTATAATTAATTTTAAAAGTAAAAACCATCAAAAAAATTTCATCATGTTCATAAGTTGCTAATATGTAGATGATTTTGATCAGCTGTTTTTCTTGCTGGCAAGTTGCTGCTGGTAAAAAATTTTCCAGCAGAAACTAGCCGATTCTCATCAAAATGAAATGTCAGTTTGGTCTCTCAATTTGCCCTACTTTACTGGATTTTTGTGTACGCGAACAGCAAAACTTTTCGCACTCTCTTCTGATGCATTTCACGCAAATAAATTTAGTAAATGAACACAAAATTAATTGTTTATTTAATTGCAATATTCCGGTCTTGAAATTGCAATTAAATAAACAGTTTTGCACATACATATGTTTCACTTAATATATCACAAATGTACAAAAACAAATAAATACATGTTAAGCTGTGTTCATTTACTAAATTTATTTGCGTGAAATGCATCAAAACAAAGTGCGAAAAGTGCAAGTGTTTTTTTGCAAATAACTCATTAATTAATTTAAAAAGTTAATTTCCGCTCTCGGATTATTATTATTGGCATTAAAACGCGTCGATTGAAACCACTTTCTGTCCATTTTTGGCCATGTAAGCTAAAGTGCACTACTAATATAATAATAGATTGGCGCTTACACATTTGTTAGTGTTTGGCCGAGCTTCTCCTCCGATTTGTGGCGTG